AGGTTCGGTTCAATTCTGATAGTTCATTTCTTGGGAATTCATGATTCATTTTTTATTGTTCATTTCTTTGAGATACATGGTTCCTTCCTGATAGTTCGTTTCTTGGGGATTCATGATTTCCTGAGAGCTCATTTATTAGGGATTCATGGTTCATTTCTTGGTGATTCATGGTTCCTTTCTGACGATGACATTTCATCATGGTCATAAGGCTTGCTGTACTTATATGTAAGAATTTAATTTTTTTTTTTAATATAGTTCCTTATACGGGTAATTTATAATTTTCAGTCATCAATTCTAAACTATGTTCTTCCACATTAACATGCAATCGTTTTTACCTTTTTTCTTGAATTTTCGATTCGATTTATCCATATGAAATAACTTTTCTTTACATTTTCATTAACAAAAAAAAAGCCTATACTTTTTTTTTTTTTTTTTTTTTGAAGTTTTGTTATTTTACAACTCGACTCATATTCATTTGAATAACAAACTTTTACCAATATTTTATAGCATATGTTTATGACCAACGGTCTATGGTCATATTAGACAGGAATCTGTGGTTTAAAGTAGATTCTAAACTTTACAAACATCCATAGCATTTGTAAATGTATTATTTTTAATTTTTACAAGACAATCGAAATGTTAATTAAATAGAAATGTTATTCAATTCATTAAATTGCATAGGCCTCAATTCATAGCACACAAGTATGATTTAGTTATTAACACAAAATTTCCAAGAAATACATTTCATTCTCTTCGTTTGTATATCTTCAGAAAATTACTCTCAATAAATTCTAATATAAAATGAAACTTTCATACATATGTTTAAAATGCATCAAACTAATCACTCAATCTTCAAAATGTCATTATGAAAGATTACGAATTTAGAAAAACAGTTAACAAAGTTCTTAAAACCCACAGTGAAATTTCTGGCATAAAAATAAGCCACATGAGCCAGAAAAGTTTGTTCCATAAATGTAATTAATAAATGAAGATCTCTTGTCCACTAAATGTAATTAATTAATAAAGGAATATATCTAGTTTCGTAATTAATGTTTGACTCGTGACAAACTACGTCTCCTTTCACGAAAGATTCTAAAATGTACAACCATATAAATACAACAATGTACTATATTCTAATATTTTCGAATTGTTGTACAAGATATAATTACAGCTCACTTTTCGCAAGTTCAAAATCTCATAACTCACAGTGACAACATGTTTACGCCTTCTACGGTCTGAGATATATCTGGCTCTTTAAGTGTATGATTTTGACATCAAAGGATTGAGGGTGATGTCAGAATTCATGATCGGAACTTCATTCAACGATTCAAGTTAGGTTAAGGCATCTTATTACGTAAGTTGAATTCTTCATTGAATATCTTGATAAATTTGAATTTGACACGAAATAACATACGTTGCTTGAACAAAATAATGTTTGGCTAATGAAAAATTTTTAATAAAATTTATTTAAAATATTCAAATTTTAAATTGTTTGCTGAAGTCTCTGATAAATTATTTAAGTCTAGCTACAGCATCGACTGAAGAGAGTCCTTGAGTTTTAGGGAAAAAAATTCGGTTTTCGTCTATTTCTTCATTTATCCAAAGGATTCTTACCTTTTTTTTAATCCACAGACACTTTTTCCATTAAGAAGACCATGAACATTCTTCCCGGATAATGATATCCTTGAATTCTTAGAAAAATCAAGAGATTTCATGAAATTCATCAAACTCCTTAAACAAAAACTAAAATTAACGAAAGACTGAATTTCAACAATGCTATTGGGAATCAAAGAATGCTATATTGGAAGGAATGAAAAGGAAACTAATAATCTGGTTATTCTATTGAAATCGCATGAAAATATCATGATGAATAAAAGTTATCCACTAAAAATCATAGCTTTAAATTTGCATCAATATCATGATTCTATAATATATAAACTTGCAGTTTTTTAATATTTGTAGAACACGATATTTTATTTATTTGTCATTTTTTATATGCTATGCTATATATAGTTTGATATATATATATATAGCTATTTTATACGCTATACTATATATAGTTTGATATCATAATTTAAACCTTGTAATTGCTTGAATAATAGTATCAAATACAAAATTTTACCTTCTATTAAAGTGTACTATTAAAATTCACTAATAAAAAATTAATAAATTTCTAATGAATAGTTTATTATTAACCCAAAGAATAATTACCGAAAAGTTTAGTAAAATTTTATAACATTATAAAAAAAGTTATATTATCTAATTAAAATTTGCAAAGTATATTTAAGTCTTCTTAAAAAGAACAAGTAATATAAAAAAGAAATTTTCAAGTCAATTCCTACTTTTTTTTCACTATATTGCATAAAAGTCCTTTACAAATAAAGTTGAAATTTTCCTCTTGCATCTGGCGCCATCTATTATTAGATACATGCAAATTAAATCTACAAAAAACTAAAATTAATTAATTAAATTTAATTAATGAATTAATATTTGAAAAAACTGTATTAACATCCAGTGTCATCCACTACAAGTTCAAAAAAATGTATTTGAACTTGAGTGGATGAATAAAAAGTATTTTATTAATGATTGAAATTTGAACAAGATATATAGGGAGAGTGTGAACTAATAGTAGGAATTGAAAAAATATTATTCATCCATTGTCATTTAAAAGTATAATTTTTGACTGATTGATTAATTAACATTTTTTTATTTAAAAAAATATCCTTTTAATTTTGTTAAACGTATACTTTGTTTATAAACATTGATATTCTGAAACGTTGAAAAGCGCTTAAAGATTTGAATTGTTGCTGAATAACTTGGCAACAGACTTGGATGCCAAGTGATATCACCGTCTGAAACGAAGCAGCAAAACTCTTTCACTTAAACATTTAAAAGGCTGGATCCAAAAGATACTTATATTTTCTGTCTCACTCTCTCCTTAATACATAAATCCCAAAATGGCTCCATGTCTTAATCTGCTTCGCGAACATAACAGAATCTGGGTCCTCCGCTTGGCATAGATGATGGCAGCTCCGTAGCAATATTAAAATGAATACTTTATGTAAGCATTATGTGGAAGAAAGAAAGTTAAGTTAAATTGATGCTCTCTGTTCTCGATATTGCGGCTGTAGCCGTTTACAAATGCATGGCATTAGCTCTTAGGTCATAAGCCCAAGAATTCTATAACGGCACTTTCTGCGATGGCTGTTATTTATTGGTCTATTGTTTGGTTTT